CCGATCGTTTCTCAAATGCCCCTTCTCAGTGGTACTCTATCTGGACACCCTCTCCCTCAGCAGTCTCAATCCTTTTTCCTCACCTCTTTCTCTTCTAGAGCGCTTACTACCTTTGAACATATCATATATATTTTTTCTGTCCTTCTCATTGAATAGAAGGCCTATGAAGGCGGGAGTTTGGTGGCTCCTTTTTTTCACCAATACCCAAGGGCCTAGAAAACTAGAAAAGTCTCTTGCACGTAGTAATAGTAAGAGCCAACCTGTAGATGGCGTTGTTTATATCAGGTACTTTTTTGAACACTTACCAACACCTATGATAAAGTTTAATTTATAAATTAGGTACAATAAGAGCGTAGAACTAGAACAATTATAACAATATACTGTAACCCATATTATGAGATTGTGGTCTCTGTCCTCGTATCTCGCTGTGCTGCGCTCACCTGTCTTGTGATGCTGTGAGGTGACGAACTGCCTGTGTGAGGAGACGACATCGGGGAATGATGCAGGCGCTGTGACGTAGCCGCCGCTGACCCTCTGACGGTTTGTCAGGAGGAGGGTCATGTACTTTGAGATGACCGTTGACCCAGGGAGCTGAAACTGTAGAAAGCAAAGCTGTAAAGGCGTTCGGCGGGGGGGGCAGTTCTGAACCCTTAGGCTTTTCTGCTTCTCAGCAAGTGTTTAGTTGAATGAATGAATTAGAGGATGGGTGAGAGGAGGAGGAGACGAGGCGGGTGGGCCTTGCCATACTTGGCTGTTCTGAGGTGGGAGAAACGGAAGGCCTCTAGCCTCCCATGAACACCCAGGCGGGCTGGCCCCTGGGCATGAGAAGAGACTTACGATTGGAACCGCTGGTTCAGTCGTGCCCTCTGGGTAGCTGGACGAGAGATGGCTTTCACGGGTCAAGTGTCATACCTCATCCAGGCTTTCAGCATGTACCCCCCGGACCTGGGAGCAAAGAAAGGTCTACCTTGGAGTATGATCTTTACCATCTCTAGGTGCCTCCTTATGAGTCACCTCATTTCGTCTCACCGGAATTCTGTAAGGACTGAAAGACCTTTGTAGACGTGAAAGCAGGCAGAGAGCTTGAGGGCCGCCGGTGGGCATCCCCTGCTGGAGGCCACAATCACATCCCTCATCCCCACACTCCCTCCTGCCTCACCTGGTGTCATGCTTACCAGGACACCTTCAGGCTCTCCAGATGGTTCACCAAGCCTTAAAAAGTTCCTGCTGCTATTTGCACTACTTCTTATCCTCCTGGCCCCCAAGACAGACTGCTGAGAGGATGCCAAACCAGCCCACGGTGAGCCATGAGCCAGGGTGTCTGGGAACCAACAGCTCACGTGAAGGTGAGCTAATAAGCCTGCCTATTGAAGGGAACCCCCTGGTTGACCAAGAAACAAGCCAGTGGGGTGGCTCTGCATAGCCTTGAGGCAACATCCCTTCATGTAGCCTCTACAGAGCCTTCTGCTGGGTTCCATTTATCCAGGGCTGCCCTGGGCTCTGCCCTGGGCTCCCACACTGCAGTGCCTCACACACACACACACCCCTGCCACTGTACAGGGCAGAGGTCCCCCGCTCCATGGAAGGGCGAGAACAAGGAGCCGAGCGGTTGCAGAGCACCTGCCGCTGACCAGCCTTTGGTTAGTTCTGTCAGCTCAGATCTGGGCCTTCCCACTGGAAGTACTTTTCCTGGTCTAACACAGTAGAACCTTTCCCCTTGTTTCAGTTTTACCCCTTGGACCGCTCCACATACCACATAAGGCCAAGAACGAGTAAGAGACCATTTCTTAAGTGTCCACCAGACCGAACAGCTGTAGGGATACTGCCCTCAGGTCTAACTGCCTGTAGACATCTGTGGAGAGATTCTGTGTTTTCTTAAAAGATATAAAAGCCAGAATTGGAGCCTTCGGCAGTGTGGGTTTCCGGCTCCCCAGCCTCATCCAGGGGTGCGCCACGCTGAGTCCTGGAAGCAGGGAGAAGAATCCTCATGGAGCCTCTAGTGATGTTCGATGTAATCTGATTTGGTTTCCTGGATGTCCAGCCATTTGGTATGCTCACACGTAGCTTTGGCGTTGCATTTAAAATCTCTTTATGATAATGCCTAAAGGCAATAGAAGTTCTCAGATTGCTTCTAAAGAAGTAGAAGCCAAGTTGCTTGCATTAGGCAGCCAGAGAAACAACCAAAAAGCAACACTTAACCTTTTCCAAATATCTGTGCACCCACTCAGCTTTGATCAATGACTCCATTGATCATGGTGTGTTTGGTGACAGCCATCCTCACGGGATGGATAGAGTACCAAAGGGCAGCCAGTAAGCTTCTGTATGCTGCCAGGTAAGAGAGCCACAGCCACCAGTGAACTCCATGAACCAGTTCACAGTGCCGTGGTCTATGCTGTCATGCCATCCCCCTTAGTAACAGCTCCGAGTCCAGGGTTACTGTGCCACCCGGGCTTAAAATGCACATGGATTGCACTGAAGATCATCATGAATCAGGTGCCTGGGTGGCTCAGTTGGTTAAGGGTCTGCCTTCGGTTCAGGTTATGATCCCAGTGTCCTGGGATCAAGTCCCACATCGGGCTCCATGGTCAGCAGGATGCGTGCTTCTCCCTCTACCCCACTCGTGTTCTCCCTTGTTTGCTCTCTCTCAAATAAATAAGTAAAACTTAAAAATAAATCGCCATGAATCTGAGGAGTTAGATAGGGTCTTCCCACCGTGCATCACTTTCAGAAGGTTAGGCTGGGTCCTCATGTGTCTAAATAATCCAGTGTATTCCTAGCATCTCTGCTAGGAATATGTGAGGCCCTCTGGAGTCTTCTGTTTTCAGCTGCTGTGAATCCACTTCCGAGGTGTCTCAACCACACACAGCAAAGGGTTTCTGTCTGTTGGCCACCAAACTCACTCAGGTTCTCAACGAGTCCAGTCCCCTCATGATGAGAGTCGTGTGACGTGGAGGACCGCAGTGGACTTGCCTTGCTCATTGGGGTCCCCATCATTGAGTGGAGAAGGCTGGAAGGGAAACCTGCTCTGTGTCGCCCTTCTCAGCAGGTCACAGCATGGCCTCCTTCGGGAAGGAGGGAGACGCAGGGGCCATAGGAAGTCATCAGTATCATCACCTTTGTTTTCCTGATGAGGCAGGAGGCGCCCTCACAGCCACTACCTGCAGAGCCTGGGAGGCATTCCCTTTGGTCTTTTCTGTTTTCTTTTGCTCACTAAAAGTAGTACAAGCACAAATTAAAAAAAAAAAATGCAAGCAATACAAAAGTGCCGTCCTGGATGCCGCTCTGGCCTGATTTCCGCAGCTGCACCCCGTCATTGTAAGGGACCTGGCAGAGCCAGAGCCACCCGCCACTCCAGGCCCACCCGCAGCGCTCCACGAGATGAGACCAGGGGGCAGGGGGCCTGAAACACTTCCTATGCGGGTGCGGGTTCTGGGAGCCCAGGGCCCTGAGCTTATAAATCCACTCCTCATCCACACAGACCAAAACCAAGAAACATGAGGACAAAGAAGATATTCTAGAAGGACATTCACTGGGAAGGGAATCTCTCTACCACTCCAGACTCCGTTCCCCTCTCAGTGACCCCCATGCCAACCAGACAGATTCTTGTAGGAGCATATGCATCTTCATAAGCACCTTTCCAGCCTCTCCCCCGTCCCGTGCTTGGCACGCATGGAAACACACTCCACCATCCTTCACCCGGCTTCTTTCAGCCCTCAGGATGTGCTGAAGAGGTTTCCATGTCAGTACATGGAGATCTGTTACATTTATGAGTATTGTGTTTAAACAGCTAGTGAAATACAGCTTTTAGATTACTTCAGAGCTCTTGCTTCTACTCTAACACTGCTGCTGTGATGTCCTGCGTGGGTTTCTTTGGACCCCGTGTGTCCCCGTATGTCTGTAGGGTGAGTTCCTACCGTGGAATTCAGAGCCCAGGATCCTGAGCAGCTCTGAGCACTCCTGAGGGCGCGCCCGCCCAGAAACAGTGAAGCAGGCCTGGCTCTTCAGGTCTCCCGCAGGGTTGTTGCCTTCTGCGACTGGGGCAGCCTGACTAGGATTCCAGATCCAGGGTGTGAACAAAGCGAGCTCCCCGTGCGGCTAGTGCAGGAGTTCCCACTGCTGGTGCCTGCTCAGGGTACAGCGGGAACAAAAGCCTGGGGTTGCAGGGTGGAGAGCTCCCCGCTCTTTCCAGGCCCTCTCCAGTCCCGCTCCGTCAGCACGCTCATCACCCCACCTGCCCCTTCACTGAGCCACACGGGTGGCTTCCTGGCCCACCCAGGTCTTCCTGCGTTCCCTCTAGAGCCTGAAAGTCACTAGCTCTCCCCCACACTGGGCACCCCTGCAGCTGCTGGGCCACGGGCACCTCTCTCTGCCAGGTTCCTTCACCTCCTGTCACATGTCCTCAGGCTGGTTCCCTAGTGGAATTAGCGCAGCCTTAAGACTGTTTTCAACTCAGGAGCTCTGAGCCCCCACCAAGGCCCTGACCCTGGGGCGGGGTAGGGCCCCACCCGCCCTGCCTGCGGACCCCTCCACGTCACTAGTCAAAGCTAGCGCTTGGCCAACAGTGTCCCCCTGGGTATCTGCCACGTTAGGTAGACATTGAAAACACCTTTGGATTTAGAGCTAAGAACAGAACGGCTGGTGAAGTTGGGCCTGGAGATGGACCTTCAGGGATGGAGGCTTCGAATAGCGGGACTGAAGGTGCCAGTAAAGAAAAGTCACCATCCCCAGTGGGCATGGTGCTGTACACATGCTGTGTGTTACTGTCACCCACGAGCCCTGTGTGGACGATACTATTGCCCCCTTTGTGGATGAGGCAGACATGTTCCTGACCAAGGAACTCCTCCCAGAGGAACCCATTCCCACCAAGCCTGTCCAGCTCCCACCTCCTGGCCTTCACCGCTCTCTCCACGGGCTGCCTCTCCTTGTCTGGGCCGCTGGGCAGGCCAGGATCCCCGCCTGAGTCCTTGCTCCCTGGACTGACAGGTTCCTTGTCATTGTAGGACTTCTGCCATGGGCAGGTGATGTGGCCGCCCCTGAGCGCCCTGCAGGTGAAGCTTGCTGACCCCGGCCAGTCCTGCAAGCAAGTGTGCCAGGAGAACCAGCTCATCTGCGAGCCTTCTTTCTTCCAGCACCTCAACAAGGACAAGGACTTGCTCAAGTAAGTGCTGGGGGTCATCAGGGCCAGGCCAGCCTCCATCTCGCCTCTGGGTCATGTCGGAGTTAGGCTGAGAGGGACGAGCCTTAGGGAGCAGGTTGCAGCATGGTCCCCCCACCCCGCCCACTGCTGCACTCCCCCAGAAAGCTAGACCAGCAGTTTTGTTGTTTGGTGGATGAGGTCACCTGGCACGCTGACAGATTTAGAGTTCGAACGCGGGTGTTATATTTGCAAAACTAAGGCCGGTGTTTGGAATCATAGATTGTGGAAAAGGTTCGGTGTGTTCATGTTATACCCGGGAACCGCGGGAGTGCAGATGGGCTCAGAAGCACAACCCCGGGAGTGCGAAAGCAATGAAAAGTAAGGGTTGGGGGCTGGCACTGAACTGCCCACAGCAAGTCCCCTCACCACCTTCCCCCTCCCGCGGCCCCTGTCCCCTCTTGCACTTGATTCCAGCACCGTTGGCACATGGAGCACGGCAGGGGCACAGCAGGCCTAACTGTGCTGGGTTCCACAGCAGGGAGGCGGGGTGGCATGGGAAACACAGGCCAGAGCGGCACCCAGACCCAGACGGGGCTTTCCGGGTGGCTGGAGTGCTTCCCCCTGTGCCTGCATTACTTGGTGCGATCCCATTCCTTTCCCTTGGCATTTGCAGACCCCAGATTTCTATGTGAGGTGTCTTCTGGCCTCTGATTCGTGACCCCTCTGAGTACTAAGTCTGTGTTCCCCGTTTTCATTACACCCACCCTGGGCCTCATCTGACTTAATCACTGAGCCCTCAAAAAGCTCTGGTGAAGAGAATTGCTGTCCCAACCCTAAATGCTCAGCAGAGCAGTGGTACCGTCCAGTCCTGAAGTGGAGATTTAAGAAATGGACTGTGCTCGCTGCTCGTGGCCTGCCTTTCTCCAGTGCTGGTTTCATGCCTCGTTGCAGTGGTCAGTCATCTATGGTCATCTGTGCACAGATGGCTGAGCTAGCCTCGTCCTGGCCATATGTCGTCTTATTCTCAAGCATGGTACAAAACCCTTGTTCCAGAGAGAGCATGGCCTCTCACATCTCACCTGCGGGAAAGCACCTCTGAATAGAGGTGTGGAGGATGCTGGGTTTTCCCCTTCTTTTTATGTGAAGACCGAGCTCGGAGGCCACCTTGATTCCACTATTAAAACAAAGGCTGGAAGAGAGTCAGTATGGCGCTCTCCTCTGTCACCACAGAAACTTTGTGAAAGGGGGTAGTGGTCTGCTACATAAGGAAAGATGGTTCTAGAAGCTTCCTTCTCCATAGCACATATCCTGAATTCTGGTATGCCGGGAGGAGCTTCCTACTGGCTCCTTTGGCTACCTTCTGTAGCAAGGTAGCTTTTTGAGAACCCTGAGTATCTCTCTCTCTCTCTCTCTCTCTCTATGGAAGTCTGGATTTGCTGGAGGTAGATTAGGGGGACAGTGCACAGACAGCTGTCTCCGTGCAGTTCCCATCTCCACCTCTGGAGAAGGAGAGATGAGAAGCTGCATCCTGGGAATGGAAGCCAAATGGAACTCCTCTACTGCACGGCCCTTCCTTCCCAGCCAGGCAGGTGTCAGGGCTCCTGCCCGGGTCAGAGGCTCAGGACCTGGCTCAGATAGCACAGGGTCCCACACAGCCGGCCTGTCTCCGGAGCAAAGGTCTAGGTCCAGTGCAGGGATAGAAAGGGGAGCCAGTGGGTTAATTTCCTCTGTTCCATCCATCTTCTCCCCTGTAAGATTGGGGCAGCCCGTATGATGGTGAGAGAACGTACAGCTGGTGCTCAAGACAGCAGAACGGCCCCTTCGTCCAGAGAGCCTTGGGCCGTGGAGCAGGATTAAGGCTGCCAGGCTGAGACCAGAAAAGCCAGGCTCCTCCCCAGGCCTCCCTCTCCACCTCCTCATACTCTTCAGAGCCCATTGAGGGCAGAGGGCCTCACGGAGCTGTTCCGTGGCTAAGCCCTGTGCATGGGACTGCTTCCCAGCCCTCTCCCAAACCCCACTGTAGTCCTGTGGGTTTTCTCCCAAGGAGGCAGCACTGAACGCTAATTCCGTAATAAAGCTGTCTGAGACTAATTCCCTGAATGTAAGAGGCCTGTTGAACACCTTGTTCCTGCATTTGTAAATACCGATAATGCTGTAAAGCCCCAGCTATCTGGCGGTCTGTTGAGGGCCTGCTCCATATGAAGCAGTCCTGACTCATCCATATTCGTGGCCAGTTAGCAAAGTGAGTGGCTCCTACAAGCCCACGCTACTCTCTCTTTTCCACCTTGGGGCCGGGTTCTCAGCTTAAGCTCCTTTTAGTCTTTGGTGCCCATGACCTTGAAGAACGACTGAAGAACCTTGAAGAACGACTGAAGAACCTTGAAGAACTGTCTATCCCTACTGTGTAGTAGGAATTAATATCACATAGGTCAGGCCCTTTGGAGTTTCCTGTGCTGTCATCTCGAATCAGGGGCAGTGAGGCAGCTGGTCGTGGAGCTCCCGTTCACACCGGGCACAGTGTAAGTGCTGGGGGGTGCCCCGGACTCTCATGCCCAGAACGTGCATGATTCAGGCACAGACCAGGGGGCGGGGGTCCAGAGGCAGAGGCCTGGGGAAAAGCCAGAGTCCAAGCTGGGGTGGCCCCATCCGGAGGACCTTGGCTCCGTAAGTAGGGACATGTGTCACTGTGACACCTTATTTATAATTTTGCTACCTTTTCAAGTTACAACTTCTAAAATATTAAATGATCGAGTTGGGCATTTCTTTTTGAAGTTGGGGAATTCTAAACCATGAAGTCTAGACCGTGAACACTTTGGCACCTGAGTCAGAGAGGTCATGAGTGAATTTGGGGGACTTGGTGGATTCAGGATAGGAACAAGCAGGGCAGGGGCTGAGGGAGGGGAGGAGCTCAGGGGCAGGGAGGAGGGGAGTGTAACCAGTAGGTGGGGTCCTGCTGGCATCCCTTCATCCTGTGTCCGTCTGTCTCAGGAAGGACGAGTTGTTTCTACCTCTCAGGACGCAGGCAGCCGCATGGGAAGGTGGTCAAGAGCTGTAAATGCGAACCCAGGGCTGCTGGGCCTCAGAAGCCCCCTCCCATCCTGTGCGAGGCCAGCTGCGGGGAGGTCAGCACCTTTGGGCCCTACAGAAAGGAAGCAGCAGTGTGCTTGGGGTCTCTGAGTGGAGTGAGAGTGTGTGTGGCCAAGTGTGTGTGTGAGAAAGACAGACATCACAACAGGGAAGCAGAGGCAATACCCTGTGCGCTCTGAAAAGGGAAGAGATTCACCAGTGGGGAGAGGGGAGGCTGGTTTCCAGACACACTCCAGCAATGGGGGAAAATCCCCTCAGCTCTCTGACTCTGGCCCGAGGATGGTAGAGTGCTCCTCCTGCCTGCCTGGGGCTGTGGAACAGGGACTGGCACGCTCATCAGAGGGAGCGCCCCCTGGGGGCCTGGTGGTGCGATGGCCTCCACAAGTGTCTGGAGCCGTCTAAGCCCATGGCCATCCCCTGAACGTTCAGTGAGCTGCCCCGTGACAGGTCACCTGTCGTGCTGGGGACTGTGCCCTTTGTGGTGGTCTCCAGATATCATCCGTAGGCAGGCTTCTTCCACGGCGGCCTCAGCTGAGATGTGTTCACGGACATGTGCACATGTGTGCTCACTCCCGGGAGCACGTGCTTAGAGGCTGTGTGGGTGACCCGGGGCAGGAGCCGGAGGGTTTCCGCATGGCTCCCATTAGACCCCCGCCTTGGGGTCTGAGAGTTGGAGAGCTTTCCACACCTCTGGTTAGCAGTGCACGAGGCACCTGGCTTGAGTTAAGACAGAGCAGCTACTCTAATTCACCTAAACAAATAAATAACCTAAGCCTCTGTATTCTAAAGCTCTGCTCCATATGGAATCCTGTAGTGCACAGCTGAGTTCTGGAGACCCCTTTCTGTGGGTAGGCCAGCGGGGGTATCCTGCAGAGGACCTGGTAGCCCCAAATCTCTGACTCATTTTTTTTTTAAGTAAATCCATAAATCCGCACTTCCTGCCCTTGTTTTCATGGTCTGTGACCTTCCTGGCCTGGGTGCCTACGTCTCCCAGCTTGCACACCACGGCCAGAGGAGTTAGGGCAGTTGGAGAGGTCGTAGAGCTCCCTGGTGACAAGGAGCTGCCTACGGTGGGATCCTCACCCTGTTAGCAAGAGTGGAGATCTCAGGGAACAAAATGGAGATGGTTGGCACATTCATGGCACGGGGCAAGGGAGGGAGGTGGCAGAGCCCATCCCGTGTCTGCCCAGCCAGGGTGACCACGATGACGATGATGATGGTGGCAGAGCCACACTCTGCCAAGTGCTCTAGGAGCACTGATTTCTGCACCTCCTCCCTGAGTTGAGGATTCTCTGTCCCCACTGTACTTAAGGGGAAACTGAGGCAAAGGGAGGCTCATAGAGATGAAGTCGGGACTCAAACTCAGGACTGCGTGGCCCCCATACACTCTCTTCTTTGAACTGGTCCCACCTGGCATTTGGGACGCTGTGCTGGACACCTGCTGAGGCATTCTTGCTCTCGGGGCCATGGCGTGGCTGGGACCAGTGTACCCAAGGCCAGAGGAGAAAGGAGGTGGCTCTTGTTTGAGATCACATGCCGGTGCTGTTGGTTACCCCCAGCCCCGCAGGCAGTGGCCCCAGTTTCAGGAAGTAAAGCCACCACGGTCTGGGTCTCAGCTGTGGGAAGAAGATGGCAGGAGGAGCAGGAGTGCAGGTTTGCAGTCAGGTCTTGGATTCCCAGTCCTGCGTCCGGCCGGGCAGTCCTGAAGCCTCAGACACGTAACTGTCAAGAAGGGGGAGGGAGGGAGCCTGCTATGGCCATGGACCAAGGTGACTGCAGAGGTCCAGTGACTTGATGCCCTGGGACCCCCACCATCCGCCAGGAGAGCATCTGATGGGAGACTAAGGCCGTGTCACATGAATCCTTTTAAACCACCAATAAAAATATGAAGCAGAGTTCTTCAGAATATTTAAATAATGCCTGTCTTTGCCCCACTCTCACCCCTCTGAGAGAACCATTGTTAAGGCTTGAGGGGGTAGCCCTCTCGAGTTTCGAAGTGCATACACGTACGGGTTGGTCCCCCACATCTCCTCCTGTCACTTGCCTTCCTCGAGGACAGCTCTCCGCGCTGGTTCTTGCATTTCTGCCTAATTCTTTCTCACGGGCTGCGGGGACCTCCGAAAGCACAGACGCGCTGCAAACCCTTCAGCCCTTCCTTCCCCACTGGGTGAGTATTCGGGTTATTTCCATCTTGTCTCCCTTACAGCACTGCTTCGGTCGGCAGCCTTGAACACACATTCCCGCACACATACCTTTCTCAAGCCTGGACTCCTGGTGGGAGAGCATTGCTCCGTCAGAGGGTGACTACCATTTCCTTTTTATGACAGGTGACCCCAGTGTGCTCCCCACACCGCAGGAGGCAGGCCAGAGAAGCCAGTGACAAGACTGTTCCTGCCTCTCCAACACTCATGCCTTTCTCTTCCTTTTCAGGTACGAGGTGATCTGCCAAAGCTCGGAGCTGACCAAGGACATCCTGGTGCCCTCCTTCGACCCCAAGAACAGGCACTGTGTGTTTCAAGGTGACCTCCTGCTGTTCAGCTGTGCGGGCGCCCACCCCCGGCACCAGAGGGTCTGCCCCTGCCGGGACTTCATCAAGGGCCAGGTGGCTCTCTGTAAAGACTGTCTATAGCGGCCCCTGGCTCGGCCCCGCACTCACTCTGCCGGGGGCAGACAGGGGCTCCAACCCCAACGGGACAGGGCCGGGGGGCAGACATCATGTCATTCAGGGACTCTCCCCAGAGCCTGAACTTTATGCTGGGAGGTTTCAATTTGGTATTGCTCCTTCTGTGGCCCGAGCACCAACAGCGGAATCCTCGCCGAAACAGAAGGAGCAGACGTCAGGGCAGGAGCCTGGCTTCTCCTTGGCACAACTTCCTTTTTATTTCTCGAGGAGACTGTCACTGCAGCTGTTCCAAGGCAGAAAGAGAGTCTCAAGATTCGTTGAAAACAGAACCAGAGGAGGAATGGAGCTTGTCGGAAAGAACTTTCTAAGGCAACATTCCTAAACCCGTTAACTTATTTATTTGGGAGGGAGGGAGGGGGAACAGGGAGGGCAAAGAGGGACTGATCATACGTCTTGTTTCTCTGATTCCCACTGTTTACTGTCCACCTTCACTGTATTATTACTCCCGTCTGCTTCCAAAAGGAAGCAGGAGGGAGACAGGGTGCACTGTGGGGCTGGTGGCTCACTGGAGGGCAGCTGCGGGGACCTAGCTCCTCAAAGTGGATCGTAGCAGAACAAAAGAAAGTCTTGTGTATGCTTGACAGATGGCAGCTAGAGGACAGGCACCTCCTGGGCATGGGGGGAACAGACCCGTGTTGTCCTGAGAGCCCAGCCAGGGACCAAAGATGGGGCCGTTTTGCAGTGAAAGCTCCTTTCCTCAACCCTCCCCCTCCTAGCCCCGTCACACGCATGCACGTGCGCCCACCTTGGCCCCACACCTTTCCTTTAGGAAAGAAAAACAGGATTGGGGAATTGATATTTGCTGGTTGGTGGTGAATCCACCCTCTCTCCAGTGCCACTGGAAGGAGGAAAGTAGAAGCATGGGTCACGCTTGTTTACTCCAAGCGGGTGATCCGAGCTGGGGTGTGGACAGGCGTGAAGCTGGCCCCTTAGAACCAGTCACGCCACCCCAGCTGTGCTCCAGACAGGTGGGCTTGTGTTCTATTCCTTCTCGTGTCTCCTGTCACCAGAGTTGCAGGAAGGAGGCTCTCCGTGGCCCTGATGTTGGCAGGGGGAGCAGGGGCAGGCCGGCTGAATGTGGTGTGTGGTCCTGGCAATCGCCTGTGGGTGACAGTGCATGGGTGTGTGTCTCGCATGGGGCTGGAGTCTGATGCTGGTTCTTACTTGAGGCTCGAGTATTCGGGGGTGGGAGGGGTGGCATCCTGAGTTGGCAGGTTGGCCCAGTCAGACTCACTGGATGTCCCCTGCTAACCCCGGAGTTCCCCACTGTCCACCATGATGGGAGCTTCCTGCCCCCCCACCGGCCCTGCTTCAGTGCTCTGGCTGGAAGTGCGCATGTTTCCTGTGAAGCCCCTGGCATCTCCAGGCTGGTAACGGTGAGCCCTCTTCTCCTCCTCGCAGAACATCCCAGTCATGAGCTGTGGTCTGAGCCCCCCAGCCCTCCCTGGTGGCTGAGTGCCTTGGTCACCTAGCACCATGCTCCGCCCCTGCACCCTCGCTGCCGGCACCCTGGCTGCCATCCGGGACAGCCAGCCCACCCTCCGCCCCACAGGACAGGCTGGCAGGGCTCACGGTTGGGTGGGCCTTCAGGAAGGGAGCTAGATCAGGAATCCTGCCTCTTGCAGACCACGGGGCCTGTGGAGCCTTTAGGTATGGGAAGTCAGACTGTTCCTGCTTCTCCATTCTTCCGTGGTGCGTAAATAGTATCAAGTGCACAGCCAGCCTTTTTTTTTCCCCTTAGACTCTCGGTTGGTCCGAATGTCCCCTCTAACACCTGACAGTGAAGGGGGTGAGGAGCAGCAGCTTTCAGGTGGCGCCTGAGCACATGTGACAGGGAGAGCTCCGATAGGGAGACCTCTGCCCTGAGCGGTGCTGGGGCCCCTCCGGAACTCACCGAGAGCACCCTCTGCCTGAGCCCAGCAGCAAAGGGCGTGTGAGTTGAGGGAATCTTGGTGATCCGGGGGTGTGTGTGTGTGTGTGTGTGTGTGTGTGTGTGTGTGTATGTAATGTTCCTGCAAGTTTTGCAAGGGCAATTCCTGCTGCAGGAAAACAACTGTCTTCTGTGTTGTTAGGAACTGCTTTTCCCTATGAATGGGCCTCTGGGTTTCTTGTGGCAATTCCGTTGAGCTCCCAGGGCTACAATCCCTGGGCCAGGGCCGCCCTCTGCTGGGCTCTTCTGGGAGCTTCCAGAGGTGAGGCGGTCATGCAGGCGTTGGGCCAGCAGGGGGAGCCTGCGGGCCGAGACTGGATTTCTCTCGCTGGGCCGGATTAACCAACCCGTTTTGCAGAGCTGTTTCAGTAAGCCTGGGGACTCAGAAAGCCAGGAAGCTGGGAAGCAACGTTCTGAGAGAGCTGCCACGCCGGCATGGTGTTCTGGAAGCAGCGGGGATTGTTTGTGGCTATCCTGTTTGCTGAGCTCAGGGCCTCTCAACCTCCCTATTACTTTCCTCTCCATCAGGACTCAGGTGTAGCAGGCCGGCAGAGCCCTTCCCCGCGCTTGAAGATCCCTGTGGCACCCCCCACTCCTACAGTCCAGTAGTGGCCAGAAGGACCTGGAGTTCCGCAGGTGGAGCTGGTGCTCCGGGGGCAAACCTGCACTCCAGGTGTCTGGGGCTTTAGAGGTAGAGGCAGTGACACCCAAATGTATTCAGCTCCCAGGCCACCACCCCCAGGGGCCTAGGTCTGATCAGTGCCCTGCCCCCGCCCCCCCAAGGGGAGACTAGGGAGGAGGCCTGTGCCTCTCAGGACACCTGGGAGCCTCTGGTGGTGTTGCTACCAGAATTCTGTTGCTGAACAGAATCCTAAACCAGGATCCTTGTCTTCCTATGTCATAAGCATACCTTGCCAGTTTTTGTCCATTTTCTTTTCCTTAGTAAAATTTGGTTCCCCGCCCCCCGCCACTGTGATCTTACCGAATTCTTAAACATGAGGGAAATATATCTAATTTATTAAAAGAGAGAAAGCTTTCCTTTGAACCTTAAACATTTTTGGGAGTGAAAACTCCGGAAAGGGGAAGCACACTTCTTTTAATGCCAGTAAACACCTCCTTTATTTCATGTAAGTAATTTGATTTGCACATGTACAAATGGAGAAACTTTTTGCATTTTTGCTTGGACTGGGTTTTGGTCACTGCTTTAGTTTGCTTCTGTGTGTGTGTTTGCTTTATGTTGATATTTATTGTTTCTCTGATGTGCCTTTTCACTTTTCTTTGGGGTTGGTTTTTAGAATCTTGGTACCATTTAAGATAGGACACATCCTTGTGTCACCGAGGATGCTCAGGCTGGGCACCAGAAATACCCTCCCAGCCCCCTAGGCCACAGCCTCTGTGCTCCTGCACCCCCATGAGGCAATGAGAACCCCCAAGAGAAGGTCTGGCTTCCTCCCGGGCTGCTGGCCACATCTTTGGATCTGAGGAGAGCTGGTCGCCAACAGGCTGTGCTCCCTGCAACTCAGGCACCCTGGTGATGTGTGGCTGCGGCAGGAGACCAGTCCTACCTGTGAGGTGGCACTGGGAAAAAGCAGTCCCCACTTGATGTGATTATCATAAGGGGGGGAAGAACATGCAACCCTTTCTGTTTCCTCAGGGAACACGGGGTTTATTTGAGTAAAGGTGATAAAATTGTATGCTGTGTACAGGTGGGTTTGTGCTTTTGAGACCAAGGCAGGCCACCCAATTTCTCCAAGTTGGTGTACCTACATTGTGTATATAATTGGGACAAATACCACCTTTTCCCATGTCCCCAAAATCTTTGGTTTTAAAAAAAAAAAGTCTATTTTGTTAACGACAGGCTCGGTTGTATTACCATCCCAAGCCTGGATTTCTTTATTTATTTTAAAATATTTTAATTTCCACATTGGCTTCATTCTAATCCCATCCATCCCTGTAGGGCTGCAGAGCATCTCCGTGGGAAGAGAGGGATGGACAGAAGGAGATTCAGACTTCTTTGGGGAGGTGGGGATTTCCTACCTGGAAAGCTGAGGGTGAGTTCTTTCATTCCTGTTGGCTTCAGCAAAAACTGGAAGCTTAGGTTTTTCTAGCAAAAGGCCAAATTAGCTGTATAGTCTCAGATGCAGAAACAAGTTACCCGCGCTTTCTTAGCACTTAGGGTTTTTGTGAGGATTCAGTGTTTAGCCGTGTCTGGCACATAGTAAGCCCTCATAAATGTTAAATATTGTTATTATTAGCATTTCATAAAATTTGAGAAATCAAGAGCTAAGTTATACCTCCATGAAAATACTCCTCCAAGTTGATGGAATGTTGTAGGAATTTCTGGTTTGAGATGTCCAAGTCCCGTGCCCATCCTGCTGGTTGAAATGTTACTGTATCCCCGAGTGCACTGACTGATTTGCAAATATGCCTGACTTCAGCCCCAGAGGGAACTAGGCTGTAAGAATGTGTAAACTGGAGACGAAAAGGGTGACCCAGTGTTGGGCCTCACCCCACTGATGTCTTCTGGACCATGCTAGGGTTCTTCTTTGTAGAACTTTTTGAATTTAGAATTAAAGTAAGTTCTCGGACAGATTATACCCCTTAAATCAGTTAACTATATTCCTCTGAAATGAAGTAATAAAGACTTCCTGTGTTTTATTTAAGGAGAAAGGAATGACCAGTTGAACTTTGTCATTCCCTAGGAAGTCCCTTTGCTGTTCCCTGCTGGCCGGGACAGCCCTTCCACAGTCCGACCCACAGGGATCAGACCCTGGGCTGGTTAGCGGTCGTGTGTCTGTTTGGCCCCGTTCCCCGAGAAGACCCGCCTCTCCCCCAACCCGGCTCGGCCAGCCTGGGGACCCCAAAATGGTCTGACCACTCAGGTGGAGCTATGGTGGGCAGGGAGGTTGGGGGATACAGAGTGTCTTCAGAACCGCTCCCAAGAGGCTGCTCAGTGATGTTTTCCCAGATCACCTAAATACCAGTTTGCCTTTTGTTTTATGGGGGGTTTTGCGGCTTTCTTCCCTGTCGTAGAGTTTTATCTTCTATCTCGGCACTATTCTGGATAGACTGCAGTTGGGAGTACGGATGAATTTGCTGGGGTCCAGGGTCCTTCTAAGTTCCTTTGTGTTCTTTAGGGGAATCGGCAGTCTTCTATGTTTGTGGGAATAAGATTGGAATTCTCCTTCTTCAGAGCTTCGTTCCGTCTAACCCCAGATTCTGTGACGCTTTAGGACCACCCCCCACCCCAGCAGCTGGTGAGGCATGGCAGAGGGCAGCTGTGTGCTCCTATGGTGGGGGGGGGCCCATGTCGGGAGACAGGCGGGCAACGCCACAGGCCTCGAAAGCCTTGCTGGGAACAGCAGGACGGGACCTTAGTGGGGGCCGCTACCTCCGCCAAAGACAAGATGGAGCAGACCTGGGAAGCACGTTGCTCACTGTCATACCCAAGTATTCACAGGACAAGAGCAGAATGATCGATGCCAAAGGAGAAGGTGCCATCCTTTCTATTGTAGTTGCTGTCCCAACCTTGATGTCCTTAAGCTAACAGCCGTTTGCGTGTGTGTCTTCAAAGAGCTCCTGGTACAACCGTTTTCTGCTGTTCACTTCCGGGGTTACGTAGTGCAGGATTCTGCAAGTAAGGTGTCGCTGTCCACATGTACTGTACCTGCATAGAGAACACTGCTTTGTTTTCCAGTGTTGTAGAGAATACTAGGGAGAACTTTATTTTTCAATAAACTTTTGTTGTGTGACAGGTGGCAGTGGTTTTTGGGGGTCTGGGCTGGGTGCAGGGTCAAACTGAGGACAAACCCAGCGGCCTCCTCCAATGCCGGCATCCACTGATGACGGCCACCATTCGCAGACACCCTGCAGGAAACACTGAAGAGAAGGTACGTGGCAGGAGTGGGGAGGGAACGGTTTTACCCCCGAGGAGTCTTTCCCTTAGGTGGCATCCACTGAGACTCGTTTCAGAGCCGCTCCCCCGGTCCTGCATTCACCTACAGGGAACGGAATTGGAGAGAGGACTGGACGGCTTTTCTTACGGGGAGGGGGGAGTGCAAAGAGATACCGTGGAAAGAAGGAAGGTCATGTCCATGCCCACACCAAGGGCTTGTCTGAAATCATGCTGGCGAGTGATGGCCGGCCTCTCGGAAGCCAGCAGAACTCTTGGCTACTGCCTGGAACGCAGACACCATGCAGCTCCCGTCATGCCTCTGTGGGGCACAAGTCCCCACACGTGCCAGTCAAAACCGGAGTGCTTATGTTTAAGGGGTACTCCATCACAGCTTCCTCTCCTGAAGCTTCCACAGCATATGCCAACACAGTGAGAAAAGAAATCTTTCGAATCTTGCATTTCCCAGACCTGCTCGTACAGTCAACTCTTTTTTCCACGTGACCTATTAATATCCCAGGCAACACTCCTCAAAATGCCTTCCAAGGAACCACGTGGGGCGTGTCAGATTGAATCAAGGTCAGTGACGCCGCAGAATGAACCACCTCCCCTCAGTGAGCCAGAGACAGCCCCCAAGCACACCACCAACTCACCGTGCAGCCCCCCCCCCCCCCACCTCGCAGGGCGCACAGCGCCCCTCGGGACGGCCCTTCGGGGTCTCCCCCCTCACCGCCGAGGGACCCTGTCCACAGCCTCCTCCATCCACAACAGAAAACCCGCCCGGGACAGTGAGAACGCTTCAAGATAACCTCCCCGTACCATACAAAACAGGTAAAGGTCTTTATTGGTCGGACACTGTCGCCTGGACAAGCAGCAGCTCCAGAGGTACAGAATGTTGTGTGCTGGGGGAACATCGTTACAGTCTACACCTAACATTACATTAACAGAGAACATCTTGTTCCTTACAGAGGGGCGAGCCATCTCTAACAGACTGTAATGTACCATTACCACTTAACACAGCATATAGATATATGCATATATGGATAGATTATATAATTATTTATTACAAATAAACTGTCATTTCACATCTCTCAAAAATGGATCCTGTTTTTACATGTAGGTTCAGGTTCTGAATGTACAAGACAGGGTCATGTGCTTAGTTCAACCATGCAAAGCTCATATGTGGGTCATGAAGTACTTTAAAAATAGAATGGTCTCCTTTTGGACAAATCTGTTTAGAGTCAGGATTAGTAAAACAGTATGAAACTAATGAAATACCTTGATAGAAATGAGGAAGTGATCTGTACTGATGGTTCTGGGCATGTCAAGGGGCGAGGGACTAAAGGGACAGTCTTCTCTTAGAATCTGCCAGGAGACACGAGACTCTGGACCGGGAGGGGCTACCAGAGGTCCAGAGGAGGTGGGTCTGGTCACTTGCTATCCATTTCAGGCTTAGAGCACCGCAGAGGAACTTTCTGCCAAGTAAAGATCTTACCTTACCCACAAGAACCTTTTTTACTGCAGAGAATAGAAAAAGGTCAGTTCTCGCTGGAGGAGGGGGTGGAGCCTGTCCCCCCTCCTGTGCGCATTGTCCTAACACAGTTGATGGGGGCAGTGGAGCAAGGGGGAGCGGTGCCGACTGACCTGCTGGGCAGATCTTGTTCCCATGAACACAAACTTGCCAAGAAAGAAACTGGATGTTCAATGAAATATTGGCACCATCTGCCTGTGTAGAAACCTTGTTGTCCTGACGGTCTTGGTGTGGACGCAGAGCTGCCGGCCCAGGCCCTGCTGGCCACCGTCACTCGAACATCTCATAGTGGCGGGTCTGCCTCACCCTGGGCACCATGTCGATGAGGAGTCTGTAGAACGGAAACACCAAGGTCACCCCCTTGCGGGTTTGGGGAAGGAAGCAGGCGGCTTTTTAGAAATTCTCATTTCTATACCATAAAATTCAACCTTTTCAAGTAAACAGTTCAGTGCATTTTAGTATGCCCAAAGGTGGTAACCACCATCTAATTCCAGAACCCTTCTGTCACCCAAAGAAGAAACCCCATGCTTCCCTGCAGTCATTTCCCAGGCCCCCTGCAACCTGCTGATCTACTGCTAGTCTCCCTGCTCTGGCCTCTCCTGGGTACGTCCTCTCCATGGAAACACCTAACCCATGGCCTTTTCTGACCGGCTGCTCGCAGGTTCCGTATTTTCAATGGTTCCGTATTTTCAAGGTTCATCCACGCTGTGGCCTGAAGCAATGCTTCATTCTTCTCAGGGCTTGAGGACTACGCTGTGATACAGCTCTACTACAGTGATCCGTTTAACAGACTTCTGGGTTGTGCCGACTCTTTGGCTACCATCAGTAACGTTGCTGGGATCATTCACGCAGGAGTCCTTACGGGACGCGTGTTTCCCTTTCCCTGGAGTAGACCCCAAAGAGTGACACCTGCTGGGTCAAACGGGAACTCCAGCATTGAACAGGGCGTGTGGGACGACTCTGCTGTCTCCAATGCAGCCGTTCCATGGTCCGTTCCCACCAGCCCTATCCTGGCCAACCCTGATGGTCCGTCGTCTTTATTACAGCTGTCCTCATGGGAGGCAGGAAGCGCCTTAACAATTAAAAACCCAGTGCCTTTCACAAACGGTTCTCCCAAAGGCCGACTCTAGCCTGGATGCTGGAACACACAGTGATGCCTGCACAGCGCGTCCTCAGTGACAGGACTCAGGCTGGGTTTACCCCCGAGTGTGGCCCTTCTGCAGTGACACGTTCCTTTTGGAAAAAATGCTCTAAGTGGGGTCTGGCGGACTGGTGCTGCTGGGCCCTGCCCCCTGGAGCACCCCATAGGGCAGGAGGCACTTGACCTGTGAGGACACCCCACAGACGTGCCCCGCCCATGTATCACTATGACCCTCGTGAGAGAGAAAGGAAGACCACAGGAAAAGGCTGCGCGCCACGAAAATGCCAGGCCCCTGCTGGGGGCGTTTCTAGTCGTCTGAACTCACCTGGGCTCAGAGGGGTCATAGGGACAAGGCATGACAGTCAAGAGTGCCAACTCAGCCACTCGTGGCTCCTGGGGAAGCGGAGACAGAAGGAGCACTTACTTGACTCCGTAGGCAAAGATGGTGAGGCCGATCAGCACACCGATGCTGCCATCCAGGTACCAGACCGCCGCATTATGCTTGAACACCTCCGCGCTCAGAAGGATGGAGAAGCCCATCACGCCGCCCACGAGGGAGTTAAACCCTGGAGAAACAGCAAGGAGAGGCTGAGGGCAGGGCCAGGAGAACTTTCTTAGTCACCTGTGAGACACCCCGCCCCCCAATGCCAGGAGTGCCTCCGCATCCCGGGCTCCCATCCCTGCTGAGCCCACAGGGTCTGGGACAGTGTCTGTACCCAGGAGATGTTCAGATCCTCAGCGACTCAATGTCTGCAGGCCCAAGGACTGAGCCAGGATCCTCTCAACCCTGTGAAGTCCGACCATGATCCCACTTGGCCAGTGAGAGTGCGAGGTTCAGCAGAGAGGTGAAACACTATGACCGGAGGGGTCCCAGGTTGAGGGCGAGGCTGGGACTCTCCCCACACCCACATCCCTTCCCTCCAGGGCCTCCCATCAGCTGAGCATTTTCAGTGTCCAGGAGAGGAAGTGCTGAATCTAGAATTTGCGGCGGGGCAATTTGATTGCAGAAAAGGCAATCAAACAGAACTGGGGCAAACAGATACTGACCAGCCTCTCCTCCCACTTAGGGCACCACCTTTGGTCCCCACTTCATTGGACCTCTGAGTTTTCAAAAGCCACATGGGAAAGAACAGCTCAGAATGGCTGCTGGGGGCCCAGCAGGTGTCAGCCGCAGAAGGCCTCACTGCCCCTCAGCACAACCACAGCCCAGAGAGAAGCTCTGGGTCCACGCTCCTCCCCTACAACGTCCCCTCCACCGCGGTTCTGGGGCAGCCCCACCTGACCCACTCACACATGGGGGGGCTGGACGCCAAGGAGAGAGGTTTGAGATGAAGAGCAGGGGAGAGTAGGACCCAGCTGAGCAAAACCTGCGTCCAACCTCTTTCTCAGCATGCAGGGGGTGGCCTCTGGTAGGCCACTCTCCAATAAGGGGAACCAGCTGGATGGCTGGCCTCTGTCTGGGACCCTCCTCTCTTCCTTCAGTCTGTCCCCTCCGCACTCCAGCTCTCAGCTGATGCTACGACCTGGACCCACGTGGAGCACGTAGGTACAGACAATCCCACCTCACCTTCCCCCACCCCCACCCCGCCACAAACCACCATCCATGCTGCCTGCTGCCCACCCCCGTCTGCAGCTGCTGTCCCTACATACAGCTGCATGCCCCTCCCCCAGGAGAAACCTCCTCCTCCCCCGCAGCCCCAGGCCTCCTTCCTAGACCTCAGCGCACTCCCACAGCACCCCTCCCACGCCAGCACCACAGCCCTGAGGTCATCGATGGCCTAGCTGCCACCTGCCCCGGTTCATAACCTATGCTCCTCTTTGTATGGCTGGCTGCCCTCTCTTGACTCCAGCCATCCCTTCCTGGTCTCTGCTGCTGGGTCCTTCTCTCCTCTGGGGGCTCCCCTGTGCAGTGGTGGGAACTCCTCCTCCACCACCCCTGCCTCCAGCCTCCCCCTGGCTGAGTGCCTGCCCTCCCCACACCGGGGTCTCTCAACTGGCTCTTGGGCCGGGTCTTTCTGCTGAGCTGCAGCCCCACTCCCAAGCATCTCAGACTGAACGTCTTCAAAGCCAAAATCTCAATTTCTGCCCCAAAACACCTCACCCTCTCCCTACCTTCTCTGTAAATGGTGCCACCATCCACCTGCAGCGGCCAAAAATCGAAGAGCCCGTCCTTAACACCTCTCACACCCAAAATGTCACCAGTCCTAGATCTACCCCATCTGTTGAGTGATTCTTCCAGCTATTGCCTCCCCAACTCTGCCTACCTCTCACTACCACCTGATCCCGGGGCACCTGCCTCTTGACCATACCCCTGCAACAGCCTCTCAGCACCTTCCCTGCTTCCCCCCTGCCCACCCCTCCCTCCCCCCATGGAAAGCAGCTAAAGGCCTCCAGTAGAAAAGCTGCCCAATTCTGAATCCCATCCAAACTCCTCAAGGCTGGCACAAGCTAGCTACCTCTCCCGCATCACACACTGACCTTCCCGTCTGCTGTGCTCCAACCACACGGCACCCGCAGCCGCCAACCCTGGCCTCCCCCGCGGCCTCCAGACTCACCCTCCCTCCGTCATCCCACCCCTCTCTTCCTGGGCTCTCCCACACTGCCTCCTGCCCGTGCTGAACCTGCACAGCCCTACAGCGATTCCCTCCTCCCCCATCAACACCCGACCTCATTCTTGCCCCTGCTACTCCCCCAGAGCGCTTCACTTCCTAGCACGGGATTTTTACTTTTTCTTTTTACAAACATCTTTTTCTTCCCCTCTGGAAGCATAAGCTGAAGGACAAGGACTGGGTCTCAATGTATTCCGAGTCCCAGAACCGGCTGGCACTTCTCAGGGGCTCAGCTGATTGCCACATTAATGAATGAATGAATGAATAGATGGGGGGGGCATGGCTTCACCTGTGCGAAGAGGGCTCCCACTGAGCAGCAGCTGGGCTGAGCGGACCCAAGAGAGAGGAAGCCATCCCTGCCCCGGCTCCAGGGACCTCCCAGCCCATGCAGAGTCTGGGGCTAGGGCCCTGGAGAGACTGCCCCTGAGAGGGAGGTGTAGAGCGGAGCAGAGCGTACACTCCTTCATGGCAGGTGGAGCCTGAGGCTCCTGGGAGAGTCAGCCTCCACACTCCCTTCTCAGGGCTGGTCACGGTTCATCCCTGGAGAAGGTTTCCAAGCCAATTTCACCGGAATAATAGTGGTGGAGACTGGGAAAGGCAGACACCTCCACCTTCCTCCCATCTGGGGGCCATGTCCTCTGACGGCCAGCCTGGGGAACTGCGGTGAGAAGGAAGCCAGGACTTGCAGGGAGCTGGGAGCTGGTGAGGGCTCTTTGGGCCGTGGCCTGTCCCAGCACTCCCATGTGTAGCCGGGCCAGCCCTGCCTGCCACCTACAGTGTGCACCTCCACCCCTCACCAGCTCTCCTCTCCCTCTCCTCTGACAGCTGGCCAGTCTAAGAGCTTGTCCCAGGTGCCCCAGAGACAGCAGGAGAGCAGAGGCTGAATGGTGACCTCTGCTTCACCAGAGATGTGTCCCACCAGCTCCAATTCCCAGGTCTCAACCTCCAAATCTTCCACTTCCAACAGTGGAGGTGAGGGACAGACGTGTTGCCTCCTGGCTTCCCCTCGTCCAAGTGGCCCCTGCGTGGTTCGTGTCTATGGCTTCCCCATGCTCACCTAGCTCTGAACGATGAAGAAACAGGCTCAGCAGGTTTTCAATCTCCACTCTCCACTCTCTCAATCTCCAGGCAGCTCTGGAGCAGATGCTTCTAAAGCCTACATTTCAAAAGCATCAGGGCCCCCCTGCAGCCAGGCTGAGTCCATCCCCCTCCTTGATACACGGAACACGCTGGCCCTTTCTCCCTGACGACCCATGGTTTCGTCCTCTGTAGTCCCGTCTTCGGATCTGCCTCCACACCTCCCCCAGGAGGGGAACGGCGGGTCCTGAGAAGCGGGGGCCGTACCTCCTGCCTGTCTTCTGATCCATCAGGATCCTTTCTCCCCTCCCATTATGAGAAGCTGGCATTTGCCCTCTCGCCTCTGGCGGTCCCTTGAGTCCTTCCTGTCCTTTGTAATACCTGGAATCAGGACAATCCTCTTAAAAAAGAAAAGAAAAAGGCTCTGCAGTTCACAGCTTTTCTCAGAAGGCCACCAATAGCACCGGCAGAGTCCGTTACTCTGTCCCAGGCTACCTGGGCTGGAGTTTACATCTTGGGCATTCTTGGCATGGGGGAGTTTTAGTTCTGCGGGACCAGAACCAAGGGGAAGACACAGGGGAGCTGGACACTGCCCCAGGGCAGCGTGGTATCATTTGCTCCCAGCTCCATCTTTATCAGGGGCAGGTGGAGCCTTCCAAGAAGCTCAGAGATGCTGCAGAGCAAGTGAGGGTCCTCTCACTGGCCACTAGATGTCCCCTCAGCTCCAGCAAGTCACTCGGCTCCGCAGGGCCTACCCTCTGCACACAGCTCACAGAAAGAGCTTCGACTAACTTGGCTCCACTCACCTCCACGGGCCACAGAGCTGGACATAGTCAGCCCCACCTCTCCTAAGCCCACGCAGGAATGAGGGACAAGGGCCCAGGGGCTAGGGTACAATTCTGGATCTGCCGTGCCACATCCTTCAAAAGGGACAGGCTTCCCAGCCAGCGTCCCACAGCAAGTTCCCAGCCCTGCCCCCCAAGACCTCCCATCTTCAACTCTGGCACACAAAGCCCTGTGGGTCAGTCACTTCTAGGCGATGTCACCACCCCCTCCACCCAGCCTCACAGCTTGTCCCTGTCCCCTTGGTTAAAACCGGAGCTGTCATCAAGAGCAAATGTTGTTGTTGATGGCAGAACACAATTATCACGTCAGAGGCTCTTCCGGTCTGGCCTCAATGACTAGGGAAGGATCTGTAGGATTGGGCACATTCATTTTATGCAGAAAGTTCTGAAGTTCTTCATGTGCCGAAAAACCATCCCAGCCTCATGGCATTTCAGAAGTTGGGGAATGAGGACCGTGGACCCAGGCCCTTCTGCTTGGACGGATTTCCATCTGTGGCCGCAGGCAGCTCCAGAGCCCAGCTGCTGGCTCCTGGCTCGGAATCTGCCCCAGGACCTCTCCACAGTCCCCCTCTGCCCCACTGGTACTCTTCACTTGCTGTGCAAAACATTCTACCTCAATAACACAAAGCCAACCTAGGCCTCATGCTGAGCAAAAACCGCATGTTGACTGAATATTCAAAGCAGCAAAGCCAAGTCAGACAAGATGTGCCTGACAGAGTGGGAGTGTCTGGAATTTGCCCACACCTGCTGTCCCGCTCTCCCTGAAGGTCTGCTTCCCCGAGGTCAGGACACAACCCAGTGACAAAGGATCTGGTGGAGTCAGCCTGACCCCATTCACGTACTGCATCTCCGCAGGAAGGGCCATCACCCCCGGTGACCGATAAGGCCTGCCCTCCTTCCCCACACAGGAAGCTGTGAGCTGAACTTGCTTCCCTCCTTGAGAGAAGCCCTTGGCTTGCCCCCAGCCCCAGGGCCAGAAGAGGGGCGTTCCCAGGCCGGCAGCCACCAGGGATGCCCTCCAGAGCCAGCCCTGCAGGAGACCCCGGACATTAAAGATAGGCATGGCTCCTGAAGCCCATCCCGCCCCCACCTCCCAAAGAGAGGGAAGGAGAGGAGATAGTTACCCACAGCTCCCTACTTCGTCAGTGCAGGAGTACAACTGGGAGCCCAGACAACACAATTAGCAGGAGGCCGTAATGACTGCCACATTGTCTGCTGGCACTCCCGCCGGGCAGGGGACCACAGAGCTCACCGACCTGCCAGGGGCCCCTTATGGGTAACAGTCTTGGGGATGGGGTGGCCGGCTGTCTTGGCTCTTTGCTATAGTGCTCCCTGTCCTTCTGTGTCTCTCTCTCATCGGCCCCTGATGACCATTCAGCCCAGAGCCCTGGTTTACAGATACTGCCCCACCTTCCTCAAATCCACCCCCATTCTCCACCTCTCTGCCCCCATTCTGTCCCGGCCCCTGCCACCCCGTGGCTCCCTAGACTTCTCCCACCTCAGCTCTCCTTCCCTCCACTCTGCCCCACCTTGACAGCCAGAGGGCTCTTTAAAAAACATCGATCATGTCACCATTGTGTTAAATATTGAACAAAACATCCAGAATCCTACTGTGGACTCCATGTCCGTGCCCCCTCACCCAACATACCCCCCACCGAAACCCCAGATTCTGTCCTACCACGACCCCCAGGATGGCTCCCCCTGCTTTCTGCCTCTGGGTGGAACAGTTTCCTCTCAAACCATCTACTTCCCTTTGTCACAACCCCTGCCTGGTTCAAGACTGTGATGGAGGGGCGCCTGGGTGGCTCAGTGGGTTAAGCCTCTGCCTTTGGCTCAGGTCCTGATCCCAGGGTCCTGGGATCGAGCCCCACATCGGGCTCTCTGCTCAGTGGAGAGCCTGCTTCCTCCTCTCTCTCTGCCTGCCTCTCTGTCTACTTGTGATCTCTGTCTGTCAAATAAATAAATAAAATCTTAAAAAAAAAAAAAAAAAAGACTGTGATGGAAACACTGCGTGTGTGTAGCTGGCTTTGTGTGTGAAGATTATCAAGTTATCCATTAGGGACGCCTGGGTGGTTCAGTCAGTTAAGCATCTGCCTTCATCTCAGGTCATGATCCCAGGGTCCTGGGATCGAGTCCCACACCAGGCTCCCTGCTCAGCAGGAAGCCTGCTTCTCCTTCTGCCTCTGCCTGCCGTTCCCCTGCTTGTGTGCTCACTCTCTCTCTCTGACAAGTACGTAAATAAAATTGTTTTTAAAAAGTTATTCATTTAAAAAAATACTAATCACGGGGGCCTTCTGCATAAACCATATAAAGTGGTAGGAAGTGAGAAGGACACGGAAGCCTCAAGAGAAACCACCTGGAATATCTAACAGGAAGGAAGACTGCTGTCAGGGCCAAGCCCCACGATCGTGGTTGGAGGGGCAGGGCTGACTGCTGGGTCCACACCCAGGCTTCTGGCGCAGGAGGCACATTGTGTGTCTCCACGGCACTCAGGTGAACAGAAAAAGTGCTGCTGCTCGGCAGGCCAGCAGGCTTGTGTCGCAACCATGACAGAAAGGAGAGCCCCTGGTGAGTACTGACCGCTGGGAGCCCAGAGTGCTGCGCTTACGGGTGCAGCCTCCCTCAGGCCTGCCTGCCCCGACCCTCGGGTTCCAGGCAAAGAGATGCAGAGAGGGAGGCACAGAACTGCCGCTGGAGGAGCCTCAGGCCGGCCGGGCCTCTGCTCTTTGTTCAGGCCTCCGGGGCCCTGGCAGAGCGGCGTGCCTCTGAGCAACCACACGCAGAGCCCTGGCTAATGCCCGCCCGGCCTGCGTCGCTCAGCCAAGCACGCCCTGGGCTATTCCTCCCCCAGGGAAGGAGGACGCCAGGTCCAAAGGAGGGAATTTTCTTTGCCGGGTTAGAAAACACCAGACCGCAAAGATCACAGGGAATGAAGACTCCTCCTCAGATTCTGGGTCTGCCCCCAAAGAGGAAAGGGTACCCTTTCGGGCCAGGGTCCGACGGGGCCGTACATTAGACGCCTAGAAAGCCCCAGCATCTCAGCTGTGACAGAGCCCTCAGAAGACGCAGGCTGGGGCCTCAGGCACGCAGGCAGCGTTCTCACAGACAGAACCACCTCGTCAGCTCGTTAGATCGGGCCCTGGGAGAGAGCAGTTTATTTACCTCCAAGGGGTTCTCTAAGGGGCAAATGCACTTCTGGGGACCAGGCAGGAGCCTGCACGACCATGGGACAGAAACCTGACAGAGCTGGTTCCAATTCTGTGTCAGATGCTGGTCTCCGGTGCCCGGCACAGAAGAGCTCCGTGCAGCCCCCTGGCCCCATGTGCTCCTGCGGTGTCCTGCTGTCCCAGCAGCAAACACTCCAGCTGATGCCAGCTGGGTCCTGCCTTTCCCCAGCTGCCCCCACCCTGGGTTCCACTTGGGAGCTTGAGAAGCCAGGCTGGGCCTCCCACTGGTTGAAAATCAGGGAAGAGGACAGCTCAGTCCCAGTCGCTGATCCCCTTACTGCCTTAAATGGCTTTTGCTGTTTAAGAAGCTTTGGTGTCCTATGGGCAAAGGGCCTCCACAGCCCCCAGCAGCCCTGCCTTGCCACCAGCAGGTGCTGCGGAAAGTGGTATTTGAACAAGACTAGAGAAGCTGGTGATCAAAAGGTCATGTAGGAGCACTGTGATGCTGTGTCCTGGCCCCTTGGCTCGGCCATGAAGGCAGCACCCGATCTCAGCCTGCACCGCACAGACTAAGGCACTGGTGTAATGACAACTTCCTGGACCCCACCTCCACCTCCCAGCATCAGACTCTTCAGGGGCTCGGGCTCTGGAATCTGAACTTTTAACAAACAGCACAGGCTTGGGAGCCCTGACCCACTGTTAAGAAGTCAGAGTGGAGGTGATTCATGAAATTTATTAACTTCCCAGGGTACAAGACATTGGCCCTAATATGGGAACCCGAGAATCATTAAACAGCCTGTGGAGGGGAGGAGAGTGAGGAACAGATTCCAAATTATTGAGCTCTTCTGCAGGACAAGCAACTGAACAGCACCTTCTTTCCATGTGAGCCCAGCCCCCCAAGGATCAGGCTCACCGGCCCTACTCACCATCTGTTATGAGTGCTCTGCTGGTCAGAACCTTCCCCAGCATAAACTTCAACACAGCCAGGATACTGCAAAGGATCCCACTTAAAATAGAGACGCTGAACAGGAAGTCATCCTAGAAGAGAAAGTTCCAGATTTCAAAAGTTCGCTTCCTGCTAGAACAGATTACCTGCAAATTAAGGATCAGCTTTGTTCCCTGAACAAATGATCAATTGGGTATGCTGCCACCAGGTGGCAGTATCTTCTTCGGTCTCATAGGTTCGCTAGTTACCTGTGTCCCTGGGAATTGGAAAAGATGATCAAAAACAGATAATCCAGACTTATATTCCCTTGGACAACTGAGTATTCCTCTTCCTGTAGGAGATTCCCCTTCAAATTCTTCTGCATGCTATGTGTGGTTTTTCACAAACAATTCAAAAAGCAGCTGGGGAATATGGGAACATATAAGTACGCCACTGGACTAAGAACGCTTCAACACAGAGCCACAGGGCCAATTAGGGATGAAGCTACTTACAAGCACGTTTTTTCCTTAAATTCACACAAGGCAATTAGAAGTTCAAATATAGCCTTCAAGGTGCAGAAAAGGCAGCTAAAAATAAAGTCTGCTATTGACGTTATCATAGCACTTCCTGTAAGTTTTGACCTTAACTTTGCAAGCAATGAGTGAGTCACACACGCAAAAGCAAGCATCACCATCTCATGACATTAGAGCCCACCACGCTCCTCAGCCTGGAGCTCCTGTGCATCATGAGACACAGCCTCCAGATTCTCTCCAGTACTAAAATGCAACTGCCAGCAGAAGTCTGATAAAGCATCATGTATACAAAAGAAGTAAGATTTCTGAAGCATCTTATTATCCAAACTCACTAACCTAGTGCCAGAAAGCTGGGAAGAAGGAAGACAGCCTGTTTTCCTGGCTTCAAAACTGAACAAAATCATTCGAAAATCACCTCCCCGGAAACAAGATATCTGCAGGGCATCAGAGCATCTCCGTAGAATACTGATCAACGGTGGTTGGCCTTAACATATGTCCCCAGATCCTTTGCTAATCCTTCTTCTATGACGTGCAGCTGAATTCCCTCCTCCCTGAGTGTGGGCTGGGCTCGTGACGGGTATCTAACGAGTAGGGTATGGTAAGGGGAAAATAGTAACTTTGCAGGGGAGAAGCCTGGCAAGGGATCTAAGCCAAGGGATCAAGATTAGCAGGACCATTAATGAGTCCTGCCGATATCATGTGCTTCCTGATATAAGATGACAGGACAAGAAGAACAGGTCTTGGTGTTCTACCCCAAAATCCATAACCTCAGCTCAATCTTGAAAAAAAGCACCAAATGAACCCACATGGAGGGACAACCTACAAAATACCTGAGAACTACTGTTCACACATGTCAAGGTCATGAAAGATAAGGAACAACCAAGAACCTTTGGCAGATTGTAAACTATGGAGACAAAGGTCTAAACTATGCCCTTTATTCCACCCCAAAATTTACTCAGTTCATACATATCACTACCTGTACTGTCCTGGACCGGATCCTGGAACAGAAAAAGGGTATTAAGTGGAAACGCTAGGAAAACTGGGATGGAGCCTAGAGTTCTGGTAATAGCCCAGTAATCTCGGAGTTTGGGCAAACGTGTCCTGGTTATCTATGTGAGATATTAATGGCGGGGGGGCTGGATGAAAGATATACAGGAAATCTCCGTAACATCTTTGCAACTCTTTTATCTGACATTATTTCGAACTTTTAAATTCTTTAAAAGAATCACCTCACTGAATTTTATTATTATTATTACTCTTATTGTTATCATGTCACCTCCTCAAATTATCAGTGAGGACCATGCCAAACCTAGCCTCTTTGTAGATCCTGAGTCTCTGCTGTGCATGAGGTGACAAAGCAGGATCCATGAGGGGGAGGAGTGGGGGTGGGCAAGGATCTCCAAATCACAGCTCCCTTTGTGCAGGGACTCACGCTCATCATGAGTGTCGGCACCCACAGGCTCTAAGGCAACATATCAACACAGACCCAGGTGCTGACAGGATTGAGAAAACTAAAGTTGGGAGACCGACATAGTCAAGCACTTTGAGACCCCAAATTCAGGGGCTGAATTCTTGCTTTGCTCAACCCTCACACCTGAAGACTTTCCGATTCCATTCAATCTGTTGGCAAAGCCCTCATCCCTAAATTCCCAGATGTAGAGAGAGTCTGCATTCACCCCATCTAAGTCCCAAGGAGCTGGGGCACCCCCCATGTATCTTGAGACAAGCCACAATAGCTTTGGCTGTGCTCTCCTATCCCTAGGGTATCTCCTATCTCCTCTCCCTATCCCAGGGCTCACTGCTGGATAGGGGGGCTTGGTTAAAGGGCAGTGATGCACCAGCAGACCTTTGCTCACATCTGGACTCCACTGCTTACTGGGGAAACAGACCCGAGCACTCACAGCTTATTTCTCTCTACCGTGGCAGGGAGTGTGATACCGCAGCCCCTGGCAAGCAAATAATGGGCAGTCAATGTAGCAATTCATGTTCAACGGTCCAAGCACGTGACACATGCACTAACTCATTCCACCGAACAGCCACACTAAGTGCTAACGCAAGCCCCAAAGTACGCGAAGCACTCCTATAAAAGAAACGTTGGGAACTGATTACCTAGGAAAAAGTATGAACGGTGCAATGTGAAAAAGAACAACTCTGAGTGGGACCACAGTAGCTTGTCAAGGCTTCTGCTTCTAATCACCCGCATCATTGAGGCCACACCAGTGAGGGACAAGTGTAGCTCTGGTCCCTCTGCGGGGTTCCTGTTGTCCCTGCTCTCTGCTTCGCTCTACACCCCCATTTCCCTCCTTCCAGGCAGCCCTGCTGCCTTCAGGGACAATATTCTGACAGAAGCTTCTTCTGCAGCCCCCACCAGCCTGGAAAGTCTCATCCCTGCTGTAAACAATAAAGCCATGTTCTATGCCTTTTAGAGTGGTTCCGATTCTCTGCTTGAACCTGAAATACCACTTCAGAAGGATGCTTCAGAGCGCTTACAGCAGTGCCTGGCTGCTGAAGATTGTCATCAAGAAGATCTGACCGCCGGCTGACCTGCAAGCTGGACCGGGCAACCACAGGCTCCCCATCCCCCAACTGTCCTTGGAATGGGAGCCCCACTTGCCTTCCCCACTCCCAGAAGCTGCCCCAAGGACCAAGCCTTGAAGAGAGAGGTGTGCTGTCGGGGCTCTCTGGACAGGGTATATGAGAGAACCCAGGTAACACCTCCACATAAATTTTCAAGATCGGGTGGACAGGACTGCAGAAATCTCATCTTGTGGCCACCCAAGGCAAGCCTCGTCGTGTATGAGCTCACTTGCTAATAAAATTACCACCTACCCATCCGAAGTGGTCTTCCTCCTCCTTCCATCTCTTCCTGCCCTCCACCTATGCAGGCCAGTTTCCAGTCACACCTGGGAAGCCCCAAGGAGCTCGTGAACTAACAACTGGTGAGCCAGCCAGGAAGGAGGCATCCGCAGGACTTGGCTACCAACCTCTAATAGGAAGGAGGGGCCCATATATTAGACGTTTGCGGACTATTATGAGACAACAGGAGATGCTTTAATGCACCTGTGCAAAGACCCATGCACGGCGCACTGCAGCACAGAAGGGAAACACAGCGTGCCACAGTGGGCTGGCCCCGACTGTGCACTGTTCAGCTGGCACTGATGTCCCACCAGAGGCTGAAGCTTGGGTTACAGAGCTGGGAGGAAGAGCTGAGGATACAGAAGGACAAATGGTGGTCCGTCCACTGCTCTGCCAGCTTCGGGGCTGGCCAGCAAGCTGGGGGAGCAGGATCATCAGCTGGAGACCGTGGCGTGCCCTCCTGCAAAGCTAGGAGGTTGCAAGCGATAGTGGCTGAAGATCTGGGCACCTGTGACAATGCCTGGTTAGGATGCTAAGTGGCGGGATCTCTGGGAAAGTGAGGAGAATGAAGAGGAGGATTTTATTCTGTAAAAGAGCCCTACTTAATTAACTTAAGGAAAAATAAGCTTTAATATCAAACATGTACGTATGGAAAACTAAAACAATTTTCTTTCATCTGCTAAAAGGACAAGTTTTCTTGGACTATTGGTCTTCTTTTGGATAAGATTATGAAAGGTTTTTCTTTACTTTTTAGGTAATCTTCCCAGAAAACAAAGAATCTGTGTTTTGTCAAAATCATTTCCTGTGTTTCATGTTACCTTTATCAGGTCTTTGATTATTTAACAAAACTGACTTTCTATTAAAAGGGGTATGTTTTTCACAGCTATGTAACTTTCTGCATTTGCCTTTGAAGTCTTTAATTATCACTTTAGTTAAATGGGAAACTAAGTATTATTTCACAGTGACCTGTGATCCTATTTAATCAAACATTTTTAAACCTTTGGGTATTTTTGACAAGTTTCCCCAAAATCAAATTTTCAATGAAGTCTTAACTATGAACCAACTTGGGAATTTTCCAGAGAGTCCCCAGAATATCTCAAAAGATGTGTTCTCTTTCCTTATGAAAGGAAGATATTGAATTAATTAGGCTATGAATGATGCTAAACTTCCTTTAGTGCCGATTTATTTGAAATTCCTAAAAGCATGGTAAAATGCTATTAGTCATAATTTTAAAATGTATGGCACAGAAATAACCAAATTCTCTTGTTAATTACACCATAGTGAACACTTTAAATCTTCAACCGTGGCCATTTTTAAGTCTTTTGTCATTTATGGACAGCTACTGTTTGCTCTGATGAGTTCGCAAGAAGTATCCCTGCATAAGTACTTCATTGTCAAGGAGATTCATGGAAGAGATTTCGATTAGTAGAGGTTTCTGGTAACTAAGATCAATTTGCCTTCATGTGGAAGGGACAATAATGAGTTTCAAGTTATCCCCCAAAACTACCTGCATAGCCCCACAATAGGTCATGGACCTGCTCCTGTGTCTTCCTTCCCCACATCAGTAAAATGGGCCCATGACATCAATGATACAATGTTAACATGTGAAGGCTGCCTTTGCTGCAGGACACTCTGCAGGCTTTGCTGGAATATCTGCAAGGGGGAAAAAAAATAGTCAGTGAGTCTACAGAAAATTCAAGGCTGGTTGCAATAAGGTTTAGGGC